GACATGGGGGCTATAAATTGTTTCAGGTCTATATGCTGACCCTTATGTATGTTCTGACTGAGTCTGATGAGGTGCCAAGCCCTGCCCCAGAAGTCTGTTTTGGGGATTCCTCAAGGGCTTCATTGCTTTGCTCCCCTTGCTGCTCTGTTGCACCCCTTCATGTTTCGCCCATGTGTGGAGAGGGAGGGGTGTCGGCACAGTTCCCACAGCCAGTAGATAAATTATTAATGTTATCAATGCAACCGCCTTATACCTCAGGGGGCATGATTGACAATGTTTTTCTTTTTTGCTTTTGTTCTTGTTGGGTTTTGTCTTTGTCATAATATGACCACCAAAATAAACCAGAGCTGTTCATAACCCAGGGATAAGTAGATGTGTTCGGTTTCTGGCCTGGTGGTATACCTGAGTTCTCGGTTCTTGCTTCACCACACTGAAAGAGTTCATGGGGCAGAAGCATGTTTGTAAATCCAAGTGATTTTTATGAAGGAAGGAAAGTTTGAGGTATTAGTCTCAGAAAGTCCACACTATTTCTGGAAAGCACACAAGGCCGCATGGCGGGGGGCCTTGGGGAAATTCTCGACTGAACATGGCCATTCCAGGGGAATGGAAGCAGCTTGCAGAGCCACGAGCAGGGAATCCCAAGGGAGTGAGTGGGCCGTGAGTGGCACGCAGGCACCAGGAAGGGAGGGAGGGAGGAGGCATTTCACCCTCCACTGGCAGAGCACACTGAAACAGGAAAGGAGAGAGAAGGGAGAAAAAAAGGAGGGGACTGGGCCTTCCTGTGGCCAGTTTTTATCCCCACTGGCTGGGGAGGTGTGGTTGAGGGTGGCAGCATTAATTTTTTCCATAGTTTTCTTATTTTCCCTCTCCTGAATCTCAGCCCTGATTTTTATTATTTCTTTTCTTTTGCTATTTGTAGGATTGTCCTGCCGACTCTGCTCTAGTTGGTGTAAATTTTGTGCCAGCATATCAATCATGAGTCTTCCTTTCTCAGGTGTGCATGTATTGCTATGAAACTTCCCCTAAAAACTGCCTTTGGTGTGTCCCATAAGTTTTGGTA